ATACAACCTTGCTTGCTGAAAGTGAAGAGGACTTAAAACACTCTCTGATGAAGATCAGTATGGATTACATCTCAAGGTAAAGAAAACAAAAATACTCACCACTGGACCAATAAACAACATTTTCATCAACAGAGAAAATATTGAAATTGTCAAGGACTTCATTCTTCTTCCATCAACTATCAACACTCACGGAAGCAGCAGTGAAGAAATCAAAGGACATATTGCATTAGGCAAATGTGCTGCACAAGACCTTTTTAAAGTGTTGAAGAGCAAAGATGTCAGCTTGAGGACTAAGGTGGCCTGACCCAAGCCATGGTATTTTCAATATCGTCATATGCATGTGAAAGCTGTACAGTGAACAAGGAAGACTGTAGAAGAATTGATGCTTTTGAGTTGTGGTGTTGGAGAAGAATATTGGCAGTGCCATAGGCTGCCAAAAGAACCAATAGATCCGTTTTGGAAGAAGTACAGCCAGAGTGCTCCTTGGAGGCCAAGGTGGCCAAACTTCGTCTCTCATACTTTGGACATATTGTCAGGAGGGACTGGTCGCTGGAGAAGGATATCATGTTTGGTAAGGTGCAGGGTCAGAGAAAAAGAGGAAAACCCCCAACAAGATGGATTGCCAAGTGACAGTATCAATGGACTCAAGTGTGGCAACAGTAGTGAGGTTGGCCCAGGATTGGGCAGTGTTTTGTTCTGCTGTGCATAAGGTCACTATGGGTTGGTACCGACTCAATGGCACCTAACAACAACAACAACAACAACATCTGTCTATCTATCATCTATCTATCTATCTATCTATCTATCTATCTATCTATCTATCTATCTATCTATCTATCTATTATCTACCTATCTAGAGACTCCTGATATGGTGCTGTATTATAAGCACTAGACTGCAAACTACTAGGTCAGCAGTTCAAATCCCCCAGCTATTCCTCAGGTAAATCAACACACTGAGCAATCTCTCTCTCTATTTATATAGATCTCTCTCTCTCTAGATACATACATATATATATATATATATATATATGTATGTATCTAGAGAGAGAGAGAGACAGCAGTCTGGTAGTATAGTGAATTATGAGCTGGGCTGCTAATCACAAGGTTAGCAGTTCGAATCTACTAGTCACTCCAGGGGAGGAAGATGAGATTTTCTGCTTCCATAGAGAATTATAGTCCTGGAAATCCTATACAGGGTTGCTATGAGTCAGAACCAACTCAATGGCACACAACCATCACCACCATATACATATATTTTGTTGTGTACTGTTGAGGTTCCAACTCATAGCAACCCTGTATAGGGTTTCCAAGTGCTACTGGTGGATTGAATTGCCAACCTGCAGTTGGCCAGCACTTGTCCTATAGTGCCACACCAGGGCTCATATGTTGTTGTTAAGTGCCGTCAAGTCAGTTCCAAATCAGAGTAATAGGGTTTCTGAGGCTATAAATCTT